TTCGATCTGGTGGAAAAGATCTACGATGAACGGTTGGAGAAAGAGCTGGTGTTGGACTACAATGCATCACCGTTGCTTCCTGAGTTCGAGAGATACCGAACGCCAAGCAAGATCATGGAATTGCTTTGCGAGATGCCTCCTGGACCCCAGGACACAAGCAAGGAGCAGATCATTCGAGACCTCACGACTGTCCTGGAGTCCCACAGGGAGAACACGGTTCGGCATCACTACATGGACAAAGGAATCAAATTTGTCATCAAGAATTGGCGACCCGAAGACCTACGCAGAGACGAGGATGGAAGGAGAATGAGGGTGTGCCCGGCATGCTACAACATCGTTCCAGCATGCTTCTCCCGATGCACGTCTTGCTGGTCACAGTTCGTTTCTAGCGGATATTACCAAGGTTCTCCAAAACGGGAGACTCCTACGGAGATCCCCAGTGACTTCATTGCTCAGACAATGGAAGCCGCAGCAGCCGCAGTGCCTGAGGCGCCCGAAGAGGAGCAGGAAGCCATGGAGGTAGAGACCGTTGCGGAACCTGAGGAAATCCCAGAACCATCTGTCATCGCGGAGGACGATCCAGAACAGGAACCTGATGAAGAAATGGACATAGAGCCAGGAGAGGACTTTGATGACGCAGTTCCAGAAGCAATCGCACAGGAACGTCGTCCCGTCTTCGTTACCGGCCAGTCTTTGAACATCGATCCTGAGCTACAACTTGCACGTACTGCCATGCAGCCATCCTACTATTCTGGAAAGCGAAATGCCCATTGCATTGACGCGAACATGACCGCTCTTTCGTACATGGCATACGTGGTATGCAGATCCATCTACAAGTCTTGGTCAGGATTCGCAAAGTGGGCGACTATGCCGTTGTTCCAGATGAGGGAAAGTTTCGCACTTGGCCAACGCTATGATGTGCTTGGAAAGTGGGGATCTTTGGCGGCAGTGGATAGGGAAACGGGTGTGAGCAAGGATGTGACTGATGAGGAGATCATTCGCTTTGCCAAGGAGCCTGAGAACCTCAAGCAGTATGATCCCAACGGGACTTACACCTTGAAGCGCTTCCGGACGAACCAGATGCTTTCTTTGCTTACACGGGGAGCCAACATGATGGGAATTGGCAGGGACAACTTCAACCCTACTACTTACTTGAAGAGCGAAAGGGATGAAGATGTGAAGGCTATGCACTTTTGTTGCCTGAACGTCCTGTGCGAGGTGATTCCAATGGTGACGGGACACCAACAATTCTCAGTGCTACGACCAACGCCAACTGGACCGGTGGACTTCTTGTACATCGACCCCGTCGGTATCTGCTGACTCATTCTGATCAGTCAGTCCAGACCATCGGCTTGCTGGTGGACCATAGTGTGCAAATGCCTGCGCATTTCATGGACAGATTGAATCGATCCAAGGCTGAGAGACAGCAAAACCCGACGACCAAACGTACTGAAGCCCTACACCACATTTCGGCCGCTGATTATCTCCCTCCAGGTGGTACATCCATCCTGGACACGCCTGTCACTACGGAGGAACGTGAAAGCGCTTCTTCGTCCAAGGGACCTTCAAAAGGGCGTGGGAGAACCGGAGGTGAGCAACATGGAGGCTGGAACTCCAACTCCTACTACGACTACACCGCCGGCAAAGGCCGAAACAAAGGCAAGGACAAGGGAAAGCATCGGGAACAGTATCCAGAGGAAAACCTCCGGCCCTGGGACCGCGATCCTGCGACCACGCGAAGATGGAGATGAATCAACGCTTGGTCTTCCTCGCCTATCAGTTCGTGACCTCTGAGCTTCGCCCATGGAATGCCATCGCGAATGCTTCTTTCTTCGGTGACGCCTGATTCGTTTGTCATTTCAGGGGATCGTTACTGACGTAGATGAGTGTCACAACGTTTCTAATTGGGATGCAAAGCTCTGATTTTCAATGCCAATGTTGCGGCGGAACATTTTCTGTTGTCCTATCGTGCCATCTTCCGGGTGAGCAGCGTCGGAGACGCAACTCATGGGGGGTGCGAACGGACTGCGATGCCTTGTCAAGTTCTAAGGTGTCACTATAAGAGCTGTGAGCAAGACCGTGTAAAGTGCAAGAGAAGGGGGCACGCTACGCGTCCCTCGACTCTAAGGGGGCATGCTACGCATCCCTCATCTTTACCTTTCTATGTGACCGCCAACGCAACGTTTGGCTCAAGTCAATGCCCATAGCTAAGTGCTATATGTGTCTTCTATCCTGAGCAATCAGAGCTATCCCGTTGCACAGACGAACCGCCGCCGGCAGTGAGTGCAAAAGGAACGGCCGCCGGTTCTGCCTGCATAGGATTGCACGTGTGGAAGTAAGAGGGAGAGACAGGGTCCAGTCTGCGGAGAGTGCAAGCCAGCCACACCTACATTCATTACAGCTCTGGTGGGGAGAGCAGCAACCAAGTCGAGAACAATCCCCCACGCACAAACCAATAAACCATTAAACCAATCCCTTCCCCCAATGGACCCAAACCAATAAACCATTAAACCATTAAACCAATCCTTTTGCCCCATACCACTAAACCATTAAACCATCAAACCATTAAAGCATTAAACAAATCATTTTTCTGTATAGAGAGAGACACATCCCTGTATGGGCCGAAAGCATTGGCTTAATGGTTTAATGGTTTAATGGTTTAATGGTTTAGGGGCATTGGGGGAAAGGATTGGTTTAATGGTTTAGTGGTATGGGGTAAAGGATTGGTTTAATGGTTTAATGGTTTAGTGGTATGGGGCAAAAGGATCGGTTTAATGGTTTAATGGTTTATTGGTATGGGTCCATTGGGGGAAAGGATTGGTTTAACGGTGTACTAATTTAATGGTTTGTTGATGGTTTAATGGTTTAGTGATGGGTCTCGGGCTGTCTGCTACGCAGGTGTCCTGGTTATAACCGGGGACAGAGGTTATAACCAGGCCTGTGCCACGGCTACTTCATCAACACCTAAATCCAAACGTTCGAAAGTTTCGGTGTTTCAGTGAATGTAACCGCAATGAAATTAAACAAGGACTAGAAGAATAGAGGGTCGGAGGTAATTGGCATGTATTCGGTTGCTGCGGCATGATGCAGTGCTCTGTAACAAACATAATTCTGGGGACCATGTGCGCATTCCCCAACTTTAGCGGAAAGGCTATATGGCGGACTTTACATAATGGTCTGTCCGTTCCAGTACATCGGGTTCATGAGATCAGTGTACACATTGAGAGAATGGCCGCTAACATGTCACTCACCCAGGAATCAAAATGCGGAATATGAAGGGGCTCTATCGGGATTACAGTAGGTCAGTAAGTGTTGTCAACATTGGAATATCACGGTACACAGAAAGTTGAGATACGACTGATACGACGTCATTGTAGGGGAGAGACACTATTTCAAAGTTTACAGCGTGGTCAGGTTTCATCACTTCGTACACAGGCAAACTGGTTGCAACGTTATGTTGAAACATCGTTCCAAGGAAGCCGGATTTCGACGAGACAAAACTGATAAGAATATGTGTGGTGAGCGAAACAAAATTTGCAACTTGCAAATTGTTAGGTTTCCTCGCTCGGTACGTAGAAAATTCCTAGTCCTAGCACTGCTATTTCCAACTACATGGATGAACCTCTTTCGAGGAGTGATTCGGTGTGTGGTTACCACTTTTTCTAACACGAGGATCACGTTCTGGACTGGGAACAATGGCTTCTATTCGACCTTCAGTGAATATTCACAAGAACACAAACAGAAATTCGGACAAGCTAGATGTAGCCTTATGGTTTTCAGTCGGCTTTACGTGATGGTTAAAGTATGCTGATACAAAAAAACACAGGCTTCATCACTCAGCATATAGAGACCGTGCGCATCCTAAGAAGCGACGCTTCATGTCGTCCCCCAGGAAAAACACTATACAACGTTTGCTAAGCTTGTAGTATGCAAGTTTTCAATTTTGGCTTGGGGCAGCCGTCATACAGAATTAAGGAATGCACCACTCAAATACACCTACCGGATATACCAGTGTTTAAAATGCAATCACATAGGGGCACAGGGATATGAAATTGAAAGCTATCAGTTTGCCAAAACGTCATAGCAATGCGTCCAACAACTGAGACTTTGGTGGGATTGCGGCATTACAGTACAAAGATGGAGAACTTTTCGTTCCAAAATCTAGTTCGCGATAAGGAATGACTGAAGCAAACTCATGACAACAGCGCGCTTGCTGGAAAAAACTGAAATACAGCGGTTTAGATACAGTCACACAAAGATGAACTACGAAGATATATCGACGGCTTCAAGGCAAGGATTTTAGCACATTGTAACAGGGTTTCGACCCGGGTGTCATAGAATTCTTAGCGTTGTGCGGGTTTCAGTATTCTGAAAGCATGGGTTGTTGCAACTTCCCGGGTTAGTCTTCAAACCGGATATAATACTGTAGTCGATGACGTACACCTGATTATAACCTAGTCGGCTGGTTATAACCTAGTCTGGTGGTTATAACCGAGTCAGTTGGTATAGCGAAAAACGTAGGGGACCCCAAATAGGGGTGCGCCCATATATATATATATACATGATATATGTATGTTCTTGTTTATGTATGTGTGTATGTATGCATGCATTCATGCATACATGTGTGTATGCACGTATCTATGTATGTATGTATGTATGTATGTATGTATGTATGTATACATATATGTATATATATATACGTATATGTATATACAGCTATCCATTCATTTAGAGAGCAGTCAAATAGGGTACATTATCTCCAATTAAAGTGTTGCGTGCCAGTGTAATAAAGACCCGGTGTATCTTTAGAACAGCACTGAATACTAGGTTTTGACGAGGGCTTGTAAAGAAGGAGATGTGCCCTACCCACACCTCCAAATGCTAGGTTCACTTCAGGAGGAGACCAGGAAAGTCAGCAAAACAAGGAAACGAAAAGGATTGAAATAAAGCTCCTCCTTATCTAAGAAGCTTCTGGGTAGGACGGAAACACATTGTCCAAGGTTTGCCAGACCGGACGAGGACATGTCACGAAACATGCGCACGGACAGCTTTTTTGCAGACTCTCCGGAGGCTTCACCGAGGCAGTGCCATGCACATTTTGTTGTAGCTCTCACAGTTCGATACGGGGCGCTTGCAGGCAATCAGATTGCGACATAGACGATGCCGAGCTGGGGGTCTCGGGTGTCCGGGCGCGGGATAACGATGCGACGGAGGCTTTCGATGCTATTGCGGAGGAAATCAAGCAGGCCAGCAGGGCAAGAATGCTGGTCCACAGACCCTTTGCATCTTGCGTGCCCTGAAGGACTGCTCAGTTCTTCGCTCAGGCAATGCACCCTGGCTTTTGTGGCGCGTGGTCGATGTTATCGCGACCCGGCAGCACGGCTCACCGAAGGCTACCTCTATTAGTCTTTTCAAGGCTGCAAATGTCAGAACATGATGAAGTTTTGTGTGGATGGCTTTCCAGTAGCACCTTTTGTTGAAAGCTCTCCGTTTGGAAGACATGCAAAAATGTCATTCTGGGTGCTGTCTGTGCTTCTCTTCGGAGCCATCGAACGCCTGGACCGCCCACTTGAAGCGTGTGACAGAAATCCAAACCCAATGCTCCCATTGATCCTGGAGAGTTTGGAAACCTTGGGGGACCATGCTTGGATTGGGCCATTGTCCACCTGTCCAACTTGCCTGTCCAACTTGCCTGTCCGATCACGGCTGAAGTGGCTTTCAGCTCTGCTCTGCTTCCATGGCCGGGCCTTAGAATCCATGCGCCTTGCGCTTTTCAACTTAGGAACTGTTGGAGTCGTTTTGTCTTTGTGCCAACCATTTTCTGCTTCTGCCTCGAGGTCGATGACATGCAACCGATCTTGGCTGCATTTCGTGCGAGATTGCAGTGGCAGCAGTCCCAGTAACGATTCATAAAGCTCAGTTTTTCCCAGCAGCCTTTCTCAATGTTTTAGACTCTGCCCGTTTGACAAGGTTCACAGCCCACATTGCACGGCGCCGTGCCAAATCAGACAACGATGTCGAGACTTGGACGGGGCGGACACCAACTAAACGCTTTTTTCCGTACTGCAACCTTCCCCAGACTCGATGCCCAACGAATGTCGGCCCATGGTAGCTCAGGAAAAGAAGCTGCTTTGGACGCGGGTTGAGTTGGAATGGGTGCAGCGGAAGGTTCGTCCGATCAGTCGTGTGTCTTGATTGCAGAACGCGCAGGATTCACACCGAATGTGCATTCGTCGTTCTAACTTGAGGTTGTCCGGCAGATGATCCACGACAAGACGATTGTAGGGGATGTGCCGGCTGCAGCACTGGGAAAGTTCGAGCGCACTAGATTCTGAATGGCGTCAGGTCACCCAGTACTTGGAGGATGTCGAGGACCACCTGGAAACATACATCGAAGAGCTCAGTCGAAGCATCGGGGCATCTTGTCGTTTAGAAGTGGCTCGTGAGGCGAGCTGGTGTCGACGCGCCGCCGAGGTGTGCGACTCTTTGAGGGACCAGGTTCGGAGCTTCCGCGACCGCGAGCAGCAGGGCGCACCTCGGCAACCGCTCCCCAAGAGCTCAGCCCGAGCATTCCGGACCCTGATTTACGTGATGCCTCCACTATAAGGGCCAACACGCCTAGGCCAGGCCTTGTCTGGTGGTGAAAACGTAGTTTGGCACACCGATTCTGCGATTGTCCCACCCGTCAAGACTTCCTACGAACAATTGAGATGTTACGGACTAGTCGCACGCCCTTTTTGCAAGTGTGCACGCATGTTTTATTGCGATGGTGCGCGTCGCCCGTAGTTTTCGAACTTCGGCTGATTCGTCGGTGCTGTCTTGGGTTTGCATTAGTGCCCCTTAGCGTTAAGGCTAGGCTGTATCTCTTGTCACGAAAGGGAGAACTCCCTTCTTGGTACCGCTCGTATCAGTTGTTCGCCTTTCTAGACCTACTTTGATTATTGCGGGCAGCATCTGGTGAAGGATGCCGGAAGCGAGCAAGAATATTCTGGGTTTGGCTGTGCAGCAACAAGGTGGTCTATGTTCTTGCCCTGGTCACCACGATGACAACCCCATTGCGACTTTGTTGGCAAAACATTCTGACTTCTGGCCACGGTAAGTTTCTGATATGAATCGAACTAATGACCTTGAGATGTCTTGAGGCAGCTGCTTGCATCAATGTATGGCATGAACTTCATTGACGACAGCGGGAAGCCCGTTGTACCAGGCCGGGCTGTCATACTGTCAGTGATAAGCGCGACAGATTTGCATGCAAGGACTTGGCAGGCTGGAAAAGCAGCGCGGATACTGCTTGTTTTGGGGCACCTCATCTCAATCCACGGCTTCAGCCTGATGTTAGGCCTGTTAGGCTGGTGCATGTCAGAATACGTATGGTGCGAGGATCGAGGCAAACTGAGTTGCAATCTGCCACATCTGATGAAGATCATACATGTGGCTGGCCTGACTCGGCCGTGGACCCCGAGTCTACCTGAGAGCTAGCGAGCGAGAGACCGAGAGACGGAGAGAGAGAGAGAGAGAGAGAGAGAGAAAGTACACAAGGGGGAGATACCCCCACTCCGAATACGTCTGGAGCCAGCAAGCAAGAGAGTATACACGAGCAGCCTGCGAGTTGAGGTTTGGGCGTCGCGATCGTATCTGCAATCTACATCAGTTTTCGCTATGTGTTGAAATGGATGTAGCTTTGGCCTGTGCCCATGCTGTTTCACGAAGTTTCACCTGTTGAAATGCATCACACCGGTGCACCTTCAGCTGATGCAGCACGAGGGTCTGTACAGGAAGTCCGACAAGCCTGTGATGCCCGGGATGTTGAGGGAAAACAGCCACATTCCTGCGGTACGTGCTGCAAGTGACATGACTGGAAACTTGCACAGGCAATTATTGTTCCGCTCCGGCGCAGAAGGAAATGAGCCGCTGCTGGCTCGCAATTCGCTGAAGACTTGTTGCATTTGTGTTTTCTGGCCCTGCTATGAAATCCTAACATACTGAGCCGGTTAACGGACCCTCGAACCGAGTTGCACTACAAAGTGCTGTAGGGTCTCAAAACCTGCTTTGCTTGAGCTACCTCGACCCACGGGGAGCCCAAGACAGCTCCGGCTCAGTCGCATACTCGAAGCGAGCTCAGGAACTGTGGAACTGTACGGCCGTGGTGAAACTGGAGGTGTATGGATGAGGGAAGGTGGCATCTCTGCGCCTGGCGTTCTCAGCACACGTGCAAAGGTGCAGGCTGCCTGGGTGGCTGTTTGGGTGCCCTGGTCGGTGGCCTGGCAGGTCTTTGCTTGCCAGAGGCACGTGTTGTGGGCGGACTTGTGTTGGGGCACATGTTGCAAAATGCGGCCTGTGGGAGCCAAAAATGCTGGTTGGTGTGTGCATGTAGGGCTGCTTCCCTGCCATGGTCAGGATGCGGTAGCAGGCGAGCTCATGAGTGCAGCTCGGCAGCACAGCCATGTTGTGAGAACGGCGGTGGGTGCTGTGCAGGAGACCAAGGGCGCTTCAAAATCTAAGGAGATGTTGCCAAGTCGAGCACTTCCACAGGAACCTGCTCATGTCGTTGCCCTCGACACCACACGATTAAGCTCTGTGTGCTGTGATGTGCCGTGTACTTTTACGGTGGAGCAGAGCCTTGGAAGCCAAATCAGGCAGTGGCCAGCGCGGCCAAGGCCGGCGTGGAACCTCTTCACAAGTTGTGCGAGAAAGTTCGTGCAAGATGCGGATTGCATGGTAGTCAGTCAGGTTCTGGCAGCCGATGGGTTTGACACAGAGGCTGTCAACTTTGAATTCCGGCGACAATGTCTGCAGGCACCCGCGAGTTCCTGCCGGAGAAAGAAGGAAGGCAAAAGAGACAGAGAGAAGGGGGGCTTGCACCCCTGACCCCAAACGCCCCGCAAGCAAGAAGCAAGAGAGAGAGAGAGAGCCGTAGCCTGGCGAAAGAAAGAAAGAGCATACGGCTTGTAGCTCCGAAAATTCAGGCATGTTTTGCTTGGGACGTCGTCCACTGCCCCATCTGCGCACTACCCAGCCGAGCACACCTTGGCTCCATGCAGCCGAGCCCATCACCAGAGAATCTTACCCCGAGCCAAGCAAAGAGTCGAGAGTACCATGGGCAATGTTTTCTGAACAGTGGCAGCTCATGGAAGACCAACCCACGAGCACGAACTGGCAGGTCAGATCCTGGACAGTCTGTCTAACTCAGAGCCTGCACGACAAAGGGCGGGGGAAGCAATTCACATGTGTGTGGGCGTGAAGGACTGATTGATTTGGGAATGCTGGTTTGACCGGGCTCGCCGAAACTGTTGTGTGAACGTCAAAGCATTTTTTCGACGGGCTAGTGCGCTGACGTGGCGTAGCATTCGTTTTTGCAATGTATGCTGCACTGGCTGGAGATGGATCTGACACTCAGAGTGTGCAGGGTTTCGTGAGAGTGCGTTGTCTGTCCGGACTGCAAATGCAGGTTACTGCAGTTCGCGAGGAAGCTCACCTCAAATGCCTTGTTTCACTTTCGCCGGTCGGGTGGGGGAGTGGGGGCTTCGGCCGCGGGGTGGGGGGATATCGCAGTGAAGAGTCAACTTGAAGACAAGATACCTTTGAAGTTGAGGAGACAATCTGAAGCAAGCTTCGGGCGTCCGCGGACTCGACGGAAAGACCTACCAAGTACTTTCGAAGCCACGAAGCCAGAAACACCTTTGCCTGAAAGGAGAGGCAAGCGAGCTGCAACAATCTGGTATCTTGCCACCCAGGGTAGTGTGTGATGCAGCCATTGAATGTGGCTTCAGTTCCGCAGCAGATGAACCGTACGAACCGCCTCTCCGACATGCTCAGTGCTTGATCCACTCTCTGGAAATGCGCAGGGATGTTTCCTGTGATTATATGCTATTTTGGGTTTGTTGTGTTTTTGGTATGGGTGGGGGCACGTGGAGGTCCAATGCTCATGAAGCCTGGCAAGCTAGACGCTAAACCCTGTGTGCAGCCTTGCCTGCCTTCTGCGAGTGTGAGAGTCCAAACGTTGAACCCTAAACTTCGTGGATCGTGTTTTTCCTTCCTGGAAGTGGAGGTACACGAGGGAGCCGATTTTGCTCGCCTCTAGTAGGCTTCCGTAGGCCGTACCCGCGTGCAGACGGAAAAGCGCCCTCAAAAAAAAAACTTCGTGGACCGCTGGCCATGCCACGGGTTACTGGCATTGACCTAATTCTCATGCTCTTGCAGCTATCACGGATGGAGCATTTCGTGGTTCGACGTACGACTAGTCCCATCACCCTCAACCCCGAAGAACCCGAAGACCCAACACTCTGCAGGCGACAACATCAGAGTAAACCCGTGTCCATGAATCTGAACCGACCCTACACCCTAAACCATGCACATCGTATCTCCTCGTCACTACAGCTAGGAGCTTACCGAGCCTTACCCGGACACACCCGGACCGACCTCCCTCCTCGGGAGAGTTGCAACAGGATCTTTTGTGGCTTTTTGAAGTTTGAGTTAGCAGGACTTATGGGGCCAGGGGCGCCTTTTTTCGGTGGGATGTCGGCGTCGCAGGCGTGGACGGTGGAACCAATACTCCCTGTAGGCGGTCCTGATTGATCCTTCAAACATAAGGCCCAATCGCAGGACCCTAACCGGCGATGTCAGTCCCTGTAGGGTATTTTGAGGAGGGTGTGGAAGTGTTTGCCGTTACTTCGTCTTTGGGTAGGTAATGTCTAACTCGTGTAAAAACTGGTATTTTCATTGTCATGATTTCTCGGAATTACGACCTCCCCGCCATAGTTGAAAGGCTTGTCTTGCTTCAAATGCGTAGGTTAGAGTTCGGTCTTCACATTTGTATAGCTCCGGACCCAAAAGGTGCAGAAAGAGTCATGGCGCTTGGTAATGCGACGTGCAGGCATGAGAGGATGCAGAGGAGTCGAAAGCCGGTTTGGGTTCTGCCTTGTCAAGCGACGTGCATGATTTGATCTGGCTGATGCAAAAATATACTCCAGTTGCCGACACGCCCCCCTCCCCACCACACCCACACAGAACTTAGGGAAGCACAGAAAAAAGCAAAGACCAACAGAAACAAGCCAACAAATCCGCCCAGTCTGCAGGTCCTACCCCGAACATAAAACGCCAACCAGCATGAGATGCGGAAAAACGAATCAGACAGACTGATAGACCCTGCTAAATCAGAAACAAGATGCCGAAAGACAGCCGAAAGAAGAGGAAGAGGAACAAGATCAACCAGTGGAGCCTTGCGGCATGCATGCGGCAGGCACATCCGCAGCAGCTGGGCAGCGATTAGGCAAAGGAGCGACCAGAGCCGCCAACTACAGCGGCGCGGACGGTGCAGAGGGATGCTCAAAGCCAGCCAAGGCGAAGACTCGGAGGCTTATCCCATTTCCTACAGGCACGTAAAGTAGTGACGACGTGGTGCTCTGCATGAGGTCCCTCGGCGGGGATCACATGACTCGGCAGGTCCACTGTGACCTGGAGGTGTTGCGACAGACTGCGAAGCTGCTTCAAAGTCGCGAGTGCCCTACAGGCTTTGCGCTGCACCATCCGTCAGAATAGATATGCAACCAGCAGGAGAACTTATCAACAGTCGAAAGAGGTTTTCAGCCAAAGGTGCCAGTACTCCTGATGATCGCGATGGTGCAGGGGCAACGGCCGCCAAAGCGCTTTGGCAGAAACCTGCAGTCCTACAGAGACTTACGTATTTGGCCCCTGAGTTGCCGTAACGCTTGACTTGAGGCTGCGGCACTGGCACAGGCAGAGTTGCATCGGACAGACTCCCAAGCGGCCCCTGCCTTAAAACGCTTTCGAGAGAGTGCGCCGCAGTGTCCAGAGTCTGCGCGAGTCGCAGCCGTGCCAGACCTTCGCGTCTCGTAGCGGCGTGGCAGAGTAGCGTCGTGGTCAGGTCGAGGCTTCGGCCTTGTTGTCGCCGAGAGAGCTTGAGGCCCGGGCGGAATCTGCAGTTGGGTTCAAGGGTTATCAAGGCTTGAAGCGGAAGCCGTACGAAAGTTGGAGGAGCAGAACGAGCAGATGAGTCGCTACCTTCTGGACCTATCTTGGCAGAAGGACGCCATGAAGGCACACCTGCAAGCGATCATTCGGACCGTGTCCAAGCACAGGGTTGCTCAGCCTCCCACCTCCAAACAGCACAAACCAGAGTGAAACAAACACACTATATGATCAAAGCAATCTCGCGCAGCACTGGACCTGTGCCTGTTGCTTGTCGCTGCTTTACACTTGGGGCTCTGGGATCTCGAATGTATTGTGAGGGTTAAGTGTTTTGTTATGTTTCGGAGGGGAGCTGTACTAGTATGTACTAGTAGCTGCTGAAACACCAGTTTCTTCTGGAAAACAGTCAAGGGAAGCATCGTCAAAATGGCGGAGCTCTCTGCGATATTACAATGCCAAAGCAATCAGCCGTTCCTATATTGTGCTGAGCACTAGGCTTGACGAATGCTTCTTCGGCCAATTTTCGAGATGTAAGTTTCACCTGACGTTTGTGAAAAATAGCACAAATCTAAGCTGTGAGGCCTGACGTTCGGCAGAGTGTGAACTCGCCTTGCTCGTGACAGGCTGAAGGTCAACATGAAAACGACCCAGCGCTTTGGCGGCGCAGAGGAACCTCGCATTAATGTGAGGTCCGGGATCAACGCAGCACGCACACACACTTCAACCAAGGCAGGGTGAGACTCTAAAGGCCCGAAACCAACACAGCAAAGACTTTCGGAGAAGGCCCGCGTGCAAAATGCAAGAGCCAAGTTCGCGGCCCTGTAGCCTGCCACAGCAACCAGGAGGGCCTGTGGATGGAAGGGAAGTCTGTATCCCTGCAGGCAGAGGGCACTGCAGCGCCAGTCCACTTTATAAGGTTTCGACACGCGGCTGCGCTCCGTAGTCCCCCTTGGACACGTCTGACGCAACAAGGTCTGAGTCTAAGAAAGAAGACTCGAGTATCCCTTTCAGGGGAGATTCTTCCAAAATCTTCCAAGTCCCCAACTCTAAATCGGCAACAGGCTTCTGAGCCCCGCCACTCCTCGCAGAATCCCATGCACGCAAGGGCGTAGGTTTTTCTTTTCGTTGACTTACCATAATTAGAACTTGATTTCGGTATCTGCGGTTGGTGTGTTTTAGTGTTTCTCGGCGAAGCTTTCTTCACGAAATGCTCCAGTGTATTCTTCGAAGTCGGCGTAGCTTGCCAGGATAGCAGGGACAACGTTTCTACCATCGGCGGCCCATCGAGAAGCGTGGCCCAAACCGGGTCGGATGCCAAAAGTTTACAGATCATCTTCATCCGTTCTGACATCAATGAATCAAAGCTCCATTCTAACTGCGCAGCCTCTTGTTTGGAAATGGGGAAATGGGGCTTTGATACACGCACCGCCGCAACGGACAGTATTTGGGGCTCTACGTGGGACGCTGCGTTGCAAAGACTTCTCCCCAAGTCCACCCAAGTGCCGCATGGTAGATGCAGTCGCGTTGCTAGTTCGACAGCTCTTGGGTCGTCACTTCTGCTTGCCGAAGTCCAGCTGGCTGACTCAGTTCAGAGCAACAGAGGAGCCACGTCTCCAGCTCCCCAAGCAACGTCCGAGGACCGTTGAAATTCCGTCCGTCAGCTGTTCATTCATCTGCTATCCTCTTGCTCGACCATCCCGTATCCCACTCCATGTGATCTCGACTTTTGCAGCTCGTAGCCGCTCGGGCACATGACCCTAACGCTACCCTCGAGAACCTTGAAGGATCCGCCATTGAACCGTCGACGGCGTTGACATCAATCAACTGGGAGCTCAAGCCACTCAAAAGAATGGAACTGGGTGCTTCTCAGTTGTGTTTCTCAGCAGGCCCAGCAAGTTTCTTCTAAAGAGGCGTGTGGACTCGGCGATCTTAAAATGTGCGGCTGCGGTCTCAAGCCGATCAAACTTGGGAATGTCTCGAAACAGCCCCTTATCTTATCACTGAGCGCGTGAGATGGTCATGCGGACCAATCCGGCATTCCGCTGCTGACACGTCCTGGTTGGGCAAAACGGGTCGGCCGGGTGCACCGTGGAAATTGAAGCATCATGTTCGTGTTCGCAGCCTCTGATGGCGTCGGCGTCAGCGCTGCGTCTGATTGGTATGTCCGATTTGCGACAGCTTGCGTTCCTCGCCATGTTCTTGGAAGGCAATGCTGGAGCACTTGCAGAATCACGAGGCTTATGCAGTTCTTGGCGTCGCGCCTGACATCTCGGACGGGGACCTCGCGAAAGCCTACAAGGTCGCATGCAGTTGTTTGCCCTCGTTGCCCACTGCCCGTGAGTGAGCGGCCGCTCGTTCGCCCCCGGCGAAGGCTGCAGCCATGCGCCTGCATCCAGACAAAGGAGGTAACGCCGAACAGTTCAAGGACGGATGTGACATGGTATGAAGTTGTTATAGGCTGCCTGTTTGACTTGCATGCCCAGATATCACATGTGTCCACGGGTGCTTCGTGTTGCGAAGTGTCGAGAATCACGTCTGCTCGAAGTGCCACGGCATTGCCATGTCTTCAGTGTCAAATAAAAAATGCTCGAAGTGCCATCGTACGCATGGCACCAGGCAGCACGCGCAGCCTATGACCGCATCTTGGAGTTGAGGCCGCCCGCGGGCCTCGGGCATCGCAAAGAAACCTTTCTGACTCTCTGCCTCTGTCTCTGTCGAATTGACTGATCCATGGAGGCAGGGTGCGGCGCCACGGGATGAGGCTTTGATCGCTCACGTCTGCGCACATGCACTGTCTTGTCCAAGCCAGCTTTAGTCTGAAACTGCATCGTCTTCTCAGTAGATGTCGAAATCTGCGCTGCCACGTCTCGGCTCTGAGACCAAGAAGAGTATGTGGTCCAATGGCAAGCAACCGACGGGCACTAGATTACAATCGTTAGTGTGCTCGCTTCGTAGCAGCGTCTCCTCACGGCCAGAACAATTCCATTGTCATGAAACGGAGCTCGGTGAGGTGAGCTACAACGTCGCCCAGTTTTGCTAGGCTCTAAGGCCCGCCGAGCATCGGCATTCAAGATGGCTGTACAAGGCTGCCCGAGCTTGTCGAGCGAGCAAGCGCGTGCAAGCAAACCCGGCGCCCATGCAACGCGTCCAGGTGCACTTGGAGAGTACCATGTCAATCCGGAGCTCTTGGGAGAAACTTTGGCTGCCTTGCAAAGTGAGTTGCTTCTTGGTTGCTCGATGGTTGCCAGATTCATGAGCCACAGTTGCGTTGCTGGAAGTTTCTGAATCAAGTTTTAAATCTTTACTGAGGCTCTCGTTGTCAATGCAACAGCAGAAGCAACTTCAAGAAGCCGTGGAGAGCCACCGCACCGAGTTGATGGCGTCGGTAAGGCGGCAGGGCTGATGCTAAAGACGTCGGAACGGGGGGAAAAAACATTCTTCCAGAAGCTGCAACGTCAAATTTGCGGCTGGCAGCTGGTCTGAGCTCAGGCTGAATGGCTCTATGCCGGCAGCGAAGGACTACCAGCACACCAGCCACGAATCTTACGAGATGAACGGCTCTGAGGGCGATGCCGAGGTGCCAAGCCTGAATGCTCAAGCACTGGTTGTCCTACGCACCAACTTTTCATGGTCGCTTTCCTCTCGCCTTCTGTTGGTCTGGGAATCAGGCTTCTTTTTGTTTTGGAGAAGTTTGAGAACACTCGTTGTGTCCTTGCTTGGCCATGGCCGACCGTGAGACGAAACCTCATCAGTGTCTGTCCTGCGGATGCTTTGATGGAAGGGGGTTTGCGACTCCGAGAGTTGGGAGCAGGCTCTCCGCTCCCCCGCCCCTCATTCTCAAACCCCACCCTGACCTCTTATGACCCTTCCCTGACCCCATTTCAAGCTGCCGTAGAGCAACCGCATGTGGGTTTTGTTTGGTCTCTGGTCGGATGCCTTTGTTACTCTCTTGGTTTGTGCATCTGTCTGGCAATTCAGGTGTTTCACAATCAGCGGCGGCTAGTGTGTCAGTGTGTGGTCTTTGGCAGGCTTTGCAGCTCGATGTTCATCCCGCCAAGGAACTCGAGCAGCATTATATTATAGTATGTTCACCCTGTCGAAGTAGGCCTCAGGTTTAGTGTGTCCTGGCACAAGAGGTACTTGTGATTGTGCAGTGACTAGCTTTGTCCTCGCATCCGTGAACTGAGTTCTGAGCGTCCTAGCAGGATAGTGCAAGGATGACCTTAGCTTGCGGAGTCAAGCACCGTTGGCAGCAGCCGGATCCGCATGCTCTCTAAGAGAGTACGAGAGCACAGCTACTAAGGGTATTTCTTGAAAGACAAGCGCATGTGCAAGCCATGTCAAAACCAACATAATAGTTCGGAGACAGGATGAGGTCCACGTGTGTCTGTGAAGTTTACCTTGGAGAAACTTTCTCGGAAATAGTGGCAATGTTAAGATAAATGTGCTGCGACATGAACGAAGCAGCCCCACGAGACGAAGCAGTCAGCAGGGTCAGACATGAAGTTGTCCGGATGAACCGAGGAAACATCGTATGGTGTCAGCTTAGTGGAGATTTTACTTTAGATCATGTCGGGGCAAATAAATATTGATCGTGGAATCAACTCATGTGCGAAGTTTCGTCCATGTCTGAGGCCGGTCAATATTTTTAGTTGTGAATTCTTTTCCTGCATGCGTGGGCGGTTGTGTTCCTTGCCCTGGTCTGGTTGAAGAAGGGGATCCAGATCCAGCCGGGGCATGTGCAGCACAAAAGTCTACAATGACACCAGTAGAGCAAGGCTTGTGGCATGAAGTACCCCGGTTCCTAGCCGAGTTCCGCGCCAAGGGCCCGGACGTGGCATTCGGCAATCTCCAGCCGCATCCTTGTCTTCAACTTGATGAGCTGGAGAACGATCCCTACCCACAGATGGGTATGACGCCAACCACGCCAATTGGTTCACCCGCCATTGCGTCAAAAGCTACAGACGATTCTCCCAAGGCCTGGTCAGTATGGGCAAACTGGGCACATCAGCCCTCTCCCTTAAGCCTTTGCGTGCCTCGGTGCAGGAAAGAACTCAAAGCAAGGATTCGCCGCTATCAAGGCAGGGTTGAGATGCGAAAAACCGATTCTTACGTTTCTAGCTCACAGGAACCTGGGAAGTCGAAGCACGTCACGCATCAGGACTGTCCCCACACTGACACGGCTTGGGTTGGACAAGGCGACTTGATTTGGCAGGAACACCGTCACCGGGCAGGACGAAACGTCAGCTGCCGCAAGTTCCTTGAAGCTCGCGCAGGAGACCTTTAAGTCTTCTTTCAACTCGTGGGGACACTCACATGCCATGTGCGAGACAGAGTTGCCCTTCCACGTAGTTCTGGCTATTCTTGTGTTTCGTTCCGTGTTCGCCGTGAGGAGCGCAGGAACGGCTTCGATACCATTGTTGGCATTGCGGTCCTGATGAGCCGTGGCTTCGGCATTCGAGGGAACCAGTAGGCCGTGCATTAGTCTTGAGTGCGTAACGTGCGGGAAGGAGCTCGATCCCACTCTGTTGAGTTCGCTCCGGTTCAGGATTTTCAACATAATCCAGCAAGCCCACAAGGCAGAATGGGAAGCACACTTCCTCCCGTAATCCGTGGTGTGCGGTGATGTGGAGGGCAGGTGGGGGTTAACCCCGCTAAACTTGCTCCAGAGAGACAGAGAGAGAGGAACCTGCCTTCCTTTTGCTGTGTGGAAGAAGAGGGAGAGAGAGTGTGTGTTTGTGGGGGGAGGAAAGAGAAGTGTGGAAGCACAGGCACAGGATCTCATGCAGCGAAAGAAGATTAACATAGGTTGGCACCTCGACCAACCTCGAGAAGGGGATTAGGATTCGGAGGGACGCGAGCAAGAGCCGAGGAATGCGCTGGTCATGGTAATCGATCTGGAAAGCCAGGGCAACAATGCAGGTGTGACGATTGGCGTGATTGATCGAAGCATCTGGGAGTCTTCGGCTCCTGTGATTATGGCCACTCAGCTTTTGAACGAGGGCATGGGAATGCATGGGAGGTTGGGAGCTGCATTGGAGTTTAGAGAAAGGTTTTGGAGCACCTCTTCGTGGCCATTTTCATTTTGGAGCTGGTCTGGCGGATCTATTCCGAGAGATTGCGGTACTTTCGAGAGCTCATGAACGTTTTTGACAGTCTCCTCGTGTTGATTTCCTGCATTGACTTGTACATCCTGACACCTTTGATCCAAACATCCTTGAACAACACAGCTACTTTGCGTCTTCTGCGGACCATCAAGCTGGTGCGGCGCTCAGCTGAGGGCCACATGGGATGGCCTAGGATTGCAGCCGCGTGAAAGAGCTTCCTTGCAGGTGCGTGCCGTCCGAATCGTACGAGCACTGCGGCTTTTCCGAGGTGGCCCGCAATTTTTAGGACATTTGACCAATGTCGGGACAGCGGTGCGCATCTTTCTTGAGGACTACGACTTCTCGTCCAGGCACGCGAGATGCTTCTGCGAGGCCGGGCCGCTGATTCTTGAGACTTTTTCGGGGTTCTTCCAGGCATGCAGCTCATTCCTCCCATCGCTCTGCTGGTCAATGGCACTTCTTGGGATTTTCATGATGATGGGTGCTCTCTTCATGGGAAACTTGTGCGGTTCCCAGCATATTGTTCCAGTGGCTGCGGTTGCTTCCGTTACATCCAAGGCTGCAAGATTTCATACTCGATGAGGAGGAAGATTTTGAAATTCGACAGTGGATATGGCTCCATTACGGAACGGCCTACAGGGCAATCTACACCATGCAGCTGGCCTGCTATAGGCCAAGATTTGCAAGGGGTTCCATCGAGCTGTGTGGAGCCCGGTCTGTTCCCAAGCCTGCGCATCAAGCATGTGTTCCGTCGCAGGGAGAACCCTACCAGACAGAAAGAAAGAGTGAAAGAACTAGAAGCGCCACGCCCTCCCTACAACGTAGCCATGCTACACCAAGCCAGTTTTCAGATTGACAGGGCAGGGTGTAGAGTGTGATCATTGCCTTCACTGATGTTTCACTGCTAGATTGCTTACGTTGGTGCGTCCTGTACTTGTATTCCCACGAGAGCGGGTTGAGTGTGTCAGTTCAAGCAAAAGTATGTATAGATATTTCACAGTCGTGGCATATGTCTTCTGTGCTTGCACCAGGCCATATGCATTCCACCGTGTGCCATCTTGGCTCAAGTCCGGCTTCGATTGGGATGGTTTGGAAGCCGTTGACAGGGCTCTTTCTCAGGAGGAGGGAGTGCCATGCGAGACTCGGACGGCGCTCCAGACTTTGCTTCAGTCTCGTGACCAGGTTCTTCAGGAGGCCCTCTCAGGAGCGAGTATTGGAGACCAAGCTCGCCTTCGCTTTCTTCTGGGTCGACGCCGGACTACACGTCCGTGCGTCTCGTGCGGTCGACGCGGGTGTGCAGGGAACGGGCCACTGTGTCTGAGTTTGGTGTTCAGTCTGAGGTGGTTTCTCTTTGAAGTCAGGAGTTTCAAAACACCAGCCAAGGGCATCGCTCATGGAGCAACAGCCTGGAGCCGCCAGGGCAGCCGAATATGTTGCAAAAAGGTCCAGAAAACTTCCTGTCCAAGCCTTCAACTGTTCAGGACACCCTGGACCCTTCTGCCAGGCCGGCTTCCCAAGGACAACTTCTGGCATTGGGCCCTGTGTCCAAGTTCGGCTGGCACAGGTGCTTCTTTGCTTTCGGGAGCCAATTCAGGACAGTTCTCAAGACATCCTCCCGTGGTTCAGGACCCTCCCTAAGCTGGAGATGCTTTGG